AAAAAAAAAAAAAAAAAAAAAAAGAATAGAGAAAATAAAGAAGAGTTGGTTCCTTGAAAAGATCAATAAAATTGACATTTAGCTAGATTGACTAAGAAAAATAAAGACTAAGTTACTTAAATCAGAAATCAAAGTGGGTACATTACTTACTGACATTATAGAAACAAAAGGATAAAAGAGTATCATGAACAATTGTATGCCAACAAATTAGATAACCTAGATGAAATGAACACATTCCCAGAAACCCACAACCTAACACTGAATCAGGAAGAAACAGACTATATGAATGGACCAAAACTATGAAGGATATTGAATCAGTGATCAAAAACCTCCTAGCAAAGAAAAGCCCTGTATTTTCACTAGTGATTTCTATCAGACATTTGAAGAAGAATTAGCACCAATCCATTTCGTTCTTCCAAAAAACTGAAGGGGGGGAATACTTCCTAGTTCATTCTATAAGGCCAGGATTCCCCCAATACCAAAGCCATACAAAGATACTGTAAGAAAGGGAAACTACAGACTAACGTCCCTTACAAACAATGACATAAATATCCGCAACAAAATCCTAGTAAAGAGAGTTCAAGGCATTTTAAAAGGATTACACCATGACCAAATGAGATTTAGTTCTGGAATGCAAGGATGGTGTAACATATGAAAACCAATCAATGTAATATGCCACACCAACAGAATGAAGGAAAAAAACAGGTAATCATCTCAATTGATGTAGAAAAAGCATTTGACAAAATTAAAAATCTTTTCACGATAAAAACACTTAAACCAAGAGTAGAAAAAAATCTAACTCAACATAATAAAAGCCATACATTAAAAACCCACAGCAAACATCATATTCAATGGTGAAAAATGAAAGCTTTTCCTCTAGTATCAGAACAAGGCAAGGATGCCCAATTTTACCACTTCTATTCAACACAGTACTACTGATAGTTCTAGCCAGAGCTATTATGCAAGAAAAATAAAGAAAAAGCATCTAAACTGGAAAGGAAGATGTAAAATTATTTCTGTTCATAAAAGATGTATGTAGAACCCCTAAAGATTATACAAAAAACTGTTAATACTAATAAACCAATTCAGCAAAGTAGCAGGATATAAAGTTAACACACAAAAATCAATTGTTTCTATGTATGAACAAATTATTCAGAAAGGAATAAAACAAATCAATGTACAATAGCATCAGAAAGAATAAAATATTTAAAAATCAGCTTAATCAAGCACCAAACTTATATACTGAAAACTATATAACACTGTTGAGAGAAATTAAAAATGATATAAATAAATAGAAATTGATACTCATGGATTGGAAGATTTAATATTGTTACCAGTATCACCCAAAGCAATCTATAGATTTAATGTAATCCCTATTAAAACCCCAATTTCTTTTTTGCAGAAAGAGAAAAACTCATCCTAAAACTCAGATGAAATTACAGGAGACCACAAATAGCCAAAACAATCTTGAAAAGAAAAAAAAATATGGAGGAATTTTTTCCTTTATGATTTAAAAACTTATTATAAAGCTCCATTAACCAAAACTGTTATAAAGACATATAGAACAATGGAACAGATTACAGAGCCCAGAAATAAACTCTTGCATATAGGGCCAAATCATTTTTGATAACGCTGCCAAGACCATTCAATAAGGAAAGGATAGTCTTTTGAACAAATGGGGCTGGGAAAACTGGATATCCACATGTAAAAGAATGAAGGTCCACCCTTACCTTATACAAAGATCAACTCAAAATGCATCAAAGACCTAAATGTAAGAGCAAAAACTGCACAACTCCTAGAAGAAACCATATGGTGAAAGCTTCACAACACTGGATTGTGTAGTTTCTTGGATGTGACAACAAAAGCACAGGCAATCCAAGAAAAAACAGGCAAACTAGACCTCATGAAAACTAAAAACTTTTTATATCAAAAGATATCATACCTTCAGGGTAAAAAGGGTAACAAACAGAAATGAAGAAAAGATTTTCAAGTCATACATCTGATAAGGAACTAACATATAGAATATATAGAGAACTTCCAAAACTCAACAACAAAAAAACCTGATTCAAAAAATGGGCAATGAACTTGTATATTTTTCTGAAGAAGATATATTAATACAAATGGCCAATAAGCATACGGCAAGGTGATCTGCATCACTAATCATTAGAGAAATGCAAATCAAAACCACAATGAGATATCATTTCAAACCCATTCAGATGGGTATTATTTAAAAACGGAAAACAACAAATGTTGGTGAGGATGTGGAGAAATTAGAACTCTTGTGCACTGCTAGTGGGAATGTAAAATGGTGCAGCTGTTGTGGAAAACAGTGTTCAAGGGTCAACTGTACTACAATGGAATATTATTCAGCCATAAAAAAGATGAAAATTCTAACACATGCCACAGCATAGATGAATCTCAAAGATATTAGGCTAAGTGAAATAAGCCAGACACAAGAGGGCAAATTTACAATTCCACTTAAATGGAGTACCTGGAATAGTCAAATTCAGAGTCATAAAGTAGAATAATGGTTAATTGGTACTGGAGGGAGGGGTCAAATATGGAGTCACCATTTAATGGGTATAGAGTTTTGGGATGAACAATGAAAAAGTTTTGGAGATGAATCCTGGTAATGGCTGGACAACAATGTGAATGTATTTAATGCCACTACAGACTCAAAAATGGTTAAAATGTTAAAGTTTATGTTATGTGTATTTTACCACAATTAAAAATAAATATACGTGAATAAGCCTTGGTGTTGTAGTGCCTACACACAAATTCAGGCAAATTAAGTACATGGAAAGTGAAGGGAAGATATTTTAAGAAGGCCTCTCATGAAATGACTTCTGAGCAGAGACATGAATGAAATAAGGAAGAGGGGCTGGGTGCAGTGGTTCACTTCTATAATCCCAGCATTTTGGGGAGGCTGAGGTGGGCAGATTGCCCGAATCCAGGAGTTTAAGAGCAGCCTGGGCACATGGGGAAACACCATCTGTACAAAAAATACAAAAATTAGCCGGGTGTGGTGGCACGTGCCTGTAGTTCCAGCTACTTGGAAGACTGAGGTGGGAGGATCGCTTCAGCCTGGGAAGTGGAGGTTACCGGGAGCAGAGACAGTACCACTGCACTTCAGCCAAGGCAACAGAGTGAGATCCTATCTCAGAAAATCAATAAGAAAGAGGACAGAGGTTTAAGAAAATACAGCATTCCAGCCAGAGAAAAGGAAGTAAAAGGCTGTGACGCAGGAGTCATATTTGAGGAACAAGTGAGGGTCGCAGAGACAAAGGGAGAGGGAAATGACAAGAAAAACAGAATGGTAAAGCTAGGTAAATAGGCAAACGTTATATAGCCTTACATGCCCCATAAATACACTGGATTTTACTCAGTGAAATGGGAAGCCCGTTGAGGGCCTGAAGCAGAGGAGTGACATGATGTGATAGATGTTCTCATTCTTTTTTTTTTCTGAGACAGAGTGTCGCTCTGTCACTCAGGTTGCAGTGCAGTGGTGGATCTCGGCTCACTGCAACCCCTGCCTCTGGTTCAAGCAATCCTCCCATCTCAGCCTCCTGAGCAGCTGGGACTACAGGCACACCCACCACATCTAGCTAATTTTTTTATACTTTATAGAGATAGGGTTTTGCTATGTTGCCTAGGCTGGTCTTGAACTCCTGACTTCAAGTGATCTGCCCGCCACAGCCACCCAAAGTGCTGGGATTACAGGCTTGAGCCACAGTGCCTAGCCATGACAGATGTTTAAATAAAAGTCTGATAGCTGAGTGGAGAAGAAATTATCCTGATTAAAGGAAAAATAACAGCTGTTATCTACGATTCCAGCTGCATGGTTCTCACCTGAATGCCTACCTCTTTGGTTTTGAAACTCCTTCATCCAAAGCTTTTCTTCCCTCTCCAACTGGGATATCATATCTGGTTTGAAGGACTGACGTCCTATAAGAAGACAGTACTTAAGTGAAAATGTTAAAGGCAAAGAGTACTGAAAAACTCCAGTTCCAATCACACAATGTAAGGCTCTGCCCTGCCCCTCCATGCAATGTTTAGGAAACATCTTTCATCGTGACACATTATAAGAAATATATTTACTATCATTGGAAATACACAACCCTATGTAAACTATTGGAATAAAAGATTAAAGGACCTGTTTCTAACCAATGTCTGTTTTCATCACATCCCTTACTGCAAGCAGCCGTAGTTATTACCACAATGTGCACAATTCTGGCTAAGGAGCTCCGATATTGTTACTATTTTTATTACAAAAATGCTGATGCAATTTACTAATTTCATGACCCACCAGTGGATTATGACCCACAAGTTTAAAAAAGATAAATGACATAAGGAATCAGGGGGAGCCAAGCTCAACTGTTCATTTATAGTTCATTTCTAAAAGACAACCATTTGCCTTGGAACAAAGGCCAGAAATATCTTGTCTCTATGCTCTAAGGAGATAGAAAACCTCTAGTCTCTGAAAAGTCCCAAAGCCTTGAACAAAGGGAGAGCGACCAGGGATGCTACTAAACATCCCAAAATGCACGGGATAGCCTGATACAATACCGAATTATTTAGCCCAAAAACATCAACAGCATAGAGGTTGAGAAACCCTGCTGAATTACAGAGGGTGCCTGTCCTCACCCACTGAAACCAGGTTCCTGAAGTTCTCCAGCATCACGTCTCGGTACAGCTTCCTCTGGGAAGAGTCCAGCAGCCCCAGCTCCTCCTCAGTGAAGGCCACAGCCACATCCTTGAATGTCACTGCCTCCTAGAACATCAAGCACACGTAACCTCAATCTCATACCCTATGGCCACTGGCGCCTAAGCAACTCTTTCTGTAAAGTTACTATTCTTCCCCTTCCACAATCACATCAAAAATGCTAGGAAGAAAAAGGAAAACATCTTATACATGTAATATGGTGCCCTTTATATACTTAATCCCTAGAACTGTCATTGTTAAATCATGGCATACACACATTTTTTTTTTTTTTTTTTTTTTTT